GATGACATGATTTAACTTTTTTTGTGACTATTTATATTAGTTTAGTCTAAAATAAGGATTTGTTTTAGGGCTATCATATAAGTCTAAACATGTTTTTACAGTGGCTCCTTATGTGACTTTAATTTTATAAAACTCCACATTTCTTTCTTTCTTTTACTGACAATATAATAAATTTTTGGCCATTAAAGAAGGGCATTTTTCCCACTAAGGTTGCCCAAATATTTCCATCCATATTGCAGAGGTAGGGCAGCCGACTTGGGACCAAGTTGTGGTTTGACTAACCCGCCATGCGTTGTGTCCTTGAGCAAGACATCTAATCTCTAATTGCTCCCAGGGCACTTACAAAGCTGCCCAGTGCTCCACCTGAGTGTATTTTATGGGTTTAAAGCAGAGAACCAATTTCATCATTGTATGCCATACATATACAATGATGACATCATAGCACATAGGTATCAACTGCAGTAAGAACAATGTGCTGTTTTTCATCAAAAGGATGTGAAGTTTTGTCGTAATAAATTGAATAGTGATAATCATATGCTTATTTTTTTTTAAAGAAAACCTGCATCAGTCTTCCAGAGACCTGAGGCTGGGACAGGGATTGATGGTTCAGAATGCCAACGACCTTGAGGATGCCACTGAAGCAACACTCAGGTGGTTAAAGGGAAGAGCATTTCAATTTCAGGATGAGTAGCTCAAGACCCTAAGCTCAATTTGATAAGAGTCTTTGTTATGATTCAAAGATTGCACCACACCAATAGATCTCATTCAGCTCAAAGTTGGCTCAGTTCTGCCTTGAGGAATAGGAAAATAAATCCCAGTGACTAGACGCACTAAGTTCAAAACACGTGTTTTTCTGCAACAATAGTCATTTGTCAGGTTTTATGTGCCTTAATGATGTAAAAGCATGTTTCTGTTTCATTACTTGCCACAAAACTTGCATGACTTCTCCTCAGCGTATTACAAAAATAGGTGATATTTTATAAATGTATGTGCTGAGCTTTCTCTGCAACTTGTAATTTATTTTAAAAAGGTTGTTTTTATTTCACACATGCAGCTAAAAAATATAAAGTATTCATTTTAGCAGAATGAATACTTGCTCAAAACTAACCGGGGGGACATCAATCGAGGGACAACGAAAAGCACAGAGATAAAGCAATGCCAACACCCACATTTCTTGTGTGACAGAGTAACAATTTGTGTGTGTGTGTGGGGGGGGGGGGGGGGGGGGGGGTGATTTGTAGCACTTTCTTTGACAGACTTTTTAAAGCCAACACTTTGAAATACATTTGAGTCATTGCTGCTTTAAAAATTTGTCGGGGTTGAGCTCATGAGGACAAAGATTTTAATAATTGTGCTAAAGCTAGCTGGGTCTAATCTGACCATTTATGTAGCTAGCCTAGATAGATAGATAGATAGATAGATAGATAGATAGATAGATAGATAG